ATAAAAACAAAGGTGCTACAATAGCCCCAAAATCCAAATTTCGCGAACTAAACAAGGGCTTAGATGAAAGCCTCCTTGTTTTGATATGTTCTTTTAGTGCCCAAGAAGTCCAAATTTTATTTTCAGCTATATCTAGATGACAATTTCATTAGGATATATTGCTTGGTTATGTAATTTCTCATGTTGTATCATCATTGTAAGTTACGTTTTTTCTCTTTCCAGGTTAGCGAAAAAAATGCCATCAAAATAATCTATACCTAATACTAAAAACACAAAAATTTCTTGCCACTAAATTTTTTTCGTCCAACCTGATTCAGCAATCATGCAACCGTCTGAGATGGGGACGTTTACCAGATCCAAGTCCGGTTGAGCCAAAATAGCTATTTCTTTCCATATCCATAGCCATGCAGAAGCACGTCAAATTTTGTATGGAAGTTTATTAATTGGCCGGGTTAATTAGTCATTGTTTTGGTCAAGGCGGAGAGCACTGGAGAATACTTGAACGTGACGGTGACCGATTCCTTCTCGATTTGGAAGCCGGAGGCTGTATCGATTTGTAATTTTTTTGCTTTGTCGAGTTACGTAGGTTGAATTAAATTATGGAATGTTAATCCAACTAGAATCCATTAAAAACACTTAGACCATGGTTCGAACTTTTCGATCTGATCAAAAGTAAATTAATCTATATTTATATGTATATATTATTATCTATAAAGCATAGATCATTTTATTAGAATGTCACTCTCTCACAAGTCTATATAAGTTAGAGCATTGTATCTAGCTAGCCATGAGCTTATCGTAAACGATCGTAAATTTTTAGCCGGAACAATATTTTTCTCTCACATAAACCAGCCAGCAGTACTTCTTTACGAACCAGCGACGAAACGAACCAGCCAACCGAACAGGCTGATGAACATGGCCCCGTTCGGCTTACCTCATATTCGGCTTGTTTTTTCAGCCGAAACAGTATTTTTCTCTCACAACAATTCAGTCGGAACAGTGTTTTCAACCGGTTTCAGCCAAGATTCAGACCAGCGAATGGAGCCATAACGTGATGGTTGGATAAGGCAGGGTAGGGAGTCTAGATCCAAGATGAACCGGGACTCGATATGATTATTAATAAATCTAAGCTGCAAGTTAACGAGGTGACTACGTAACGTGTACATTCCGTTGCAACGCACAGACAAGTTTGCTAATAGAAAAAAAAACACCGAGAAATAAATTCTCTTCTTGTCTGCACCATTTTTTTGACAATTTTGAGGCATCCTTCATAAACAAGCATGTGGCAGGATGGTTGGGTCTAGGGCTAGATATCGAGTCAGCTCGGCTCGGTTCGGTCCAACTCGAGCTAGCTCGTTAGGCTAATGAGCTAGTTCGGCTCGGCTCGTTAATATTACGAGTTAGAGGGGTAGCTCAGCTCGGCTCGTTAGCGAGCTCGAGCTGGTTCGTTTAGTTCGTGAGTTATAAAAAAATAGGACACACATGTTTATAATGTTCATGCCACAATAATTCCAGAAGGTAACGTCCACCATTACGCAACCATATATGATTAATACGTATCAGATTTATCAAAAGTATAAACCATGCAATATAGCTGGTCCATCCATGATACATACAGTTCCAGCATACTTACTAGTTGCTTGTCACCACAGACTTAGGAAAATCCACAGATTCAATGTCAGCATCATCATATCTCCCTGAAAAACAATCTATAAATCAACATTTCAGTACCACAACAATTATAAAATCAAAATTTATATGAAACAACTAAAAATAAGAATTACATATCAATGAAATAGGTGTACACTTCTAGATCAGCATCATCATCTTCTGGATTTATGGTCGTGGGTTGACAGACCTCAACTCGTTTGAGCTCGTGAGCTAGCTCGGCTCGTTAAAACAACGAGCTAGACTTTTAGCTCAGCTCATTAAAAAATTAAAACAAGCCGAGCTAAGCGAGTGTTCGGCTGACTGGCCAGCGTACTCACGGAATACTGTTCATATGCACAGTATTTTTTTTTTAGATATAACAATATTTTTTCTCACAACAATCAGTCAGAACAATATTTTATCTTATTTTTTAGTCATACCGAACAGCCCCTAGATTGAGCCGGACAAAGTCAAATGAGTTGGCGAGCTGTGAGTAATTTGTCCGGTCTTTGTTGGGTCCTCTCAATGGAGCGTTGCTCGCACAAATTCGATCCGCGACTAGGACAGCTCGGGTGTCGTACAGAGACTTTTTCTTATAGCAGGTTGAGCGAGCGTTCGTGAGGTGTGTGCGCGTGAGTTGCTCAGCAGACGCGTTTCAAGACCACTCAAGTAACCTCGTTCGTGTGTGACAGTCTGAGCACGCGGTCAACACGGGTACCAATTCGAGTTTTTAGGGCGTCTCCAACAAGCCTTCAAATGGTTAGCAGGTATTATTTTTTAATCCACTGGATGAGAGAGAGGGTGAGAAAGGACCTCGCTAGCGATAGTTCAAGCAGTAGGCTCGCACGTCCTAGGAGAAATTAGCTGCCTCTTAGACGGTCTCTAACATAAACAACCCAAATATGATATCCATTCAATAGTATAGGCCACCTATAATGAAAGGGTCACAGGCCCAAATCTCGCCTTTTTCAGCAACAACAGACCCCGAGCAGCCAAATCCCGCCTCCCTGCGCCGCTTGCCTCCCTCCCGTCCCCCCTTCTTCCACTGCCGGGCCCCCTCCATCGGTGCGCCACGCCCCGCCATGGCGGGCCTGCCGAGTGGGCGACGCCGCCCAAACAGCGTCGGCGCCGGAGTCCGCGTCCCCACCTCCTCCTCCGCCGTGCTCCTCCCTTCCTTAGCTGGAGCGCTTGACGCAATCGCCGGCCTACGCGCGGGCAGCGCCGCTGCAGTGCGCCCCCAGTGGCGGCGGGTCGTCCGGGGCGCGACGTGCCACTGGGTCGTCGCTCGTGGGATCCTGTGGTGCTCCACCGCAACTGGAGCCGGCCCCTCTCTCCCATGATGCCGCCCCTTCTTCCCGTCTGCCGGTAGGTCCAAATCCATGCGGTGGATGAGATCTCCCTCACTGACGACGAGGACGAGCACTCCCCTCCCCCTACCTCGAGGTTGCTCGTCGGGCGTTGGCGCAGCCTGCCTCAGCGGGAGCACCTCCCACAGTCGACGCCGCCTCCCTGCATGCGGCGCTGACTGGCGAGATCCAGGCCAGCCCCGGCGGCGCGGACCGGCGAGCAGGGGCGAGTGTGGACCGGTGAGCAGGGGCAACCTCCATCGACGGTGCGGACGCAACCTCCCCCGCGCGGAGCTTCCAGGTGCAGGCGCGCCTCGCCGTCGTCGTTCGTTCTAGTGTTTTGCGTCGTGGAGAGAGACGACGCTTTTTTGCCTTCCGTCGTGTGCTGGTACGCAAAATGAGTGTTTGGTTGCGTTATCTGTTGGCTTGTGTTTTTTGGACGCAAAATACTGTGCACGACCTATTTTAGTTTTGGGTCGCCCTTTGCCTACGCTGTTGGAGACAGTCTTAATACGGCTCCACCTTCTCTGCCACGTCCATCCTCTTCTTTTCAATGCTTTTTTTACTCGCTCTGCCACCACGTCAACTGACGATTCTGCAGCACCGATGGGGACGCACGACTGTCTCCAACAACCTTGACCCAAAATATAACATACATTCGTCTTTTAGGTAGCGCTACAGGCAAAATATCCAATATCCATTTTTGGTCTTCTCCGACAACACGATCCAAAAGACAACTCTTTCTGCAAATGGGTCTCCAGGAGAGAGGATACTCAGATTTGGGTTATGCCTCTCCTGACACCCAAAATGAGTCTTACATATAGGTACTTTGTTGGAGGCTATATGTATCCTGCTGGAGACCCATTTTGGGCCTGTGTATCCCAATAGGTCTCCTATTGGAGAGAGCCTTATATGATAGTTTGAGCGCGCCGTCGGTATGGATGTCCATTCAAGTTCTTTTACAATATATGTCAGCGTTACTGGCGCGTAAAAAACAAGATCCTTTAGCCCTTGTTTAATTTCCCCACCAAAACTTTACACCTTATCATATCAAATGTTTGACACATGCATAGAGTATTAAATATAGACTTAAAAAATAATTAATTGTACAGATTGCGACTACTTTACGAGACGAATCTTTTAGGTCTAATTAGTCCATGATTTGACAATAAATTGCTACAGTAACACATGTGCTAATGACAAATTAATTATTCTTAATAAATTTGTCTCGCGGTTTACTGACGGATTCTATAATTTGTTTTTTTTATTTGTATCCGACACCCTATGCGACATCCCACGTAACATCCAATATAACATCCTAAAACTTTACACCATGTATCTAAACACCACCTTAATTATGCACGGCTTTGTTTCTTGGACTCCGTTCTCCCATTTTTACCTAAAAAAGGTTCATGAATAATCATCTTATTATCATGGACTGCATCAGACGCCTCAGGTTATTTAGTAATAGTCACGAGATGATATAATTGGCTATTTGCCATTGCAATAGTTGCCTCCTTGCTTATAATTATCACTGAGTCTATGAATTGTGGGTCCGTCTAGGTATATGAATTGTGGGTTTGATGGTAATTTTGCGGAGCCCATTCTTTGTCACGGCAAATACGCGAGTAGCCAATTCTCCCGTCACGAGATTAGGATATTCTAGGATATCTCCGAGATTAGCACCCCCTCAGCTAAACAGTCCCGGACTGGCATCGTGCTCCACTGCTCAGTTACCGCGGCCGCCGTTCACACCCCGCGTGCTCCACTGCTCCCCATCTCTCGGCGAGCACTAGGCTACAGCCGCCGCCGCCGCTAGGTGGCCAGATCTTCATCGTGTCCATTTCGCCGGCGACGAGCACCCACCAGGTTTGCCCGTCCCTCCTCTTCCCTTTCTGCTGTGCGAAACTGAGCACCCAAAACCTAGCTTAAGAATCGGATCTGATCCAGGAGTAATTGCAAGTGTATACATGTATTATTTTGCCTAGGTGTGGCGAGAGGGAGATGGATCACCACCACCCGCAGCAGCAGCAGTACGGCGACCCTTACCGTGGGCTCGTGCCGTCCCCGCAGCCCGACCACCACCTCCACGCCCTCCAGTACCACCAGCCGCAGCCACAGCAACAGCCGGCGCTGATGTCTCCACCACAGCCGCAGCCGGCACTGATGTCTCCACAGCCGCAGCAGGCACTGATGTCTCCACCGCAGCCGCAGCCGCATCACCACGCCTCGCTTGCCTCCCACTTCCACCTCCTCCATGTAAGTAAGGGACGGTTTGGAACTGTGTGGGGCTTTTTTGTTTTGGGGGCTTTGCTCTTAGTTTAAGATAGCATATATGATATCTATCCTCATATGGACCTGCTATTTCTTGCAGCGATATCATTGATGTTGTTGCAGTGTGCCCTCGGTGCACTTGAGTTTCAAAATTGGGAACTTGGGATTTTGCTAACCGTTAAAGATTGTCATTAATTTGTTCTGTTTTTGTTTATCAACTATTGCAATTTATTCACACAATGATTTGTCAGTTTGGCCGGTGGTGGAGATTGCCACATTAGGTGTACATGAACGATATACAGTGGTGTAACAAATTAACAATGGCAATGGCTAGAGAAAATGTTGAGATTAATCAGGATAATTGGTTTGACAAGATAGATAAAAAATAAATATTATGTGAGGGCACTTTAGGTATTGCAGTTTTTTCTTAAGCGGGTAATCACATGCTTGTATTGGCATCTAACATTTAGGCTTATTTGCAATGGCATTTTTGCGTAGCAAATCTTTGTATTCACATGTATGATAACTCTTCTTTTCCTTTTATTCTTTGAGAAAATACTAGAATATATCATGAAATACTGATAGTTTTCTTCTTTACATTTTTTTTTGTTCTCTGTTAGTTGGTTACAAGATTAGCTGATGCGATTGGTACAGGAACAAGGGACCAAAATTCTGATGCACTGGTAAGAACCCCTATTTTCTAATTTTCAATTGTTTTATGGATCGATGCACTTCTACTCATAGTTCATGATCTTGTCAGAAGCAATAATTGTAGCTTCGCTGTAGAAAGCATCTTTCATAGTCACTGAAAGTTTCTTCTTAGGTGGGGAGCCTGAATATTCTTATACAAGTTTGAATTGATATGCAATATAATTCTTAAATCACCTCCCAGCGAAGATACAGATATTGAATAGTGCTCTAGTGTTGGTGCGCACAGGAATCTTGAGGCCAGCCCAGGGTCTGTGTGGTTCAGTTTTCCTTAGCCAGAGCCATCACATACGATTTGTAGATCATGACTTCACAAGCCAGTGGAAGTCATACCCTTAGCCATGAAACTAATGCAACTGCAGAAGGACGATAGAATTATTACTGTGTGTCGTCTACTAGCATGATATTTCTTACAGAAGATTTGTGGGGTCCCATCCTGTGGATTTTCTGTGTTAAGAATTGTATTCCGTTTGCTTATACAGTCTCTAAATGTTTTCTTATGTTGAACATAGAATACCAGCTAAGCACCATACTTTTCCCTGTGTTCCCGTGTTTTGCCGAATCCTAATTCCGTAAGTTATTATATCAAGAGAAGCTTGTTTCTTTATATAGGTTGAAGAGTTGACCAGCCAGTTTGCTAGGTGCCAACAACTGTTGAACTCCATATCAGGAACAATAAGCTCAAAGTCTACTGTAAGTTCTGTTACTTCTTTTTCTTGACTCATTTGCTTTATTCTTAGTGGTCTTCTGAATTCGATAGTATTAAGTTTAAATGAACTATTCTGGCTAATGAATCTTAATTTGTTTGTTTTGGCATCCAATAAATTTTTCAATTGCACAAGAATTAAGATTATTTTTTTCCAGAGAAGAATGATAAGACAAGGGTATAGTAAATATGTTGCAAGTTTTTGTGTTGTCTCAGAAAATGTTTATAAATATTCGTGTCTCTAGAAAAATCCATCTAAAAAGTTAAGCAATGGCATTATGGCATATCATATAAGAACTCAAATAGGCACTCGGGCTGACTGTATGCTCAAACACGGATGAGGCTGTGCAAGCGGTCTCAGAACGCGCCTAATGAGCAACTCACACACGCTCAGTCCCTCTGGTGAAAATCCCCCGCATGACACACCGAGTCGTCCCAGCCAGGGATCGAACTCGGGTGGGTGGTGCTCCCACCGAGCGGCCTTACCACTGAGCCATTGGCTCGTTCGTTAATTCACAATTATTAATTGTTAAGACTGTCTAAAGTGTGGCTGGTTTTGGCAGTTTTTATTGCAGGGCTACTAATAAGTAATAACTGATGTTACCAGCCAGTAGTGACCGGTGGCATTTAGTGGAGACCGGCATGAGCTGCCTTCCTTAACAAGCCCTAGTTTTCCGGTTGACACTGGTGGCAGTGCAGTCATTACGATCTACAATATTTAGAACTATTTTAACATATGTAAAAAATGCTAATTTTATATGTTGTATATGGTGCTGGTTGTTTTGTTAAATTTCAAAGAAATTAGTGGAATATTGCTAGATCAGCACCATTGGTGATTGCCTGGTTACCCATTACCAGCTGTGATACATTTAATATTGGAAACATGTTTTTCTAGCATGATTGCTGTTGATAACCATTTGAAATAAGTTAGGCAACAATGTGTTGACCCTTTCTTTTGTAATTTGTTTTGGATTAATAATGCATTATATGTAGCAAATGTACATATGCTTTATGGATCTCACTCAATAACTAGGTGTATGTTTAGTTGCAACATAATTGTAGGCCTCTCTTGGAAAGGTAAGCACCAGTTATTCATTCTCGAAGTTTCAGTACTCATGGTAATTGCTGTATTTGTTACCAACAGACGGTTGATGGACAAAGGCAGAGTTTGGACGAAACACGCCAGCTGCTTGATCAAAGAAAGTAAGTTCCACTGTCTGAGTATATATTCTAGAAAACTACGTGTGTGTTGTCTTAGCTGCAAAAGGGGAAAAAATGGTTTCATAGCTTGTGCCCCATATAAACCCAGGATGTATGGCCATGGTTTTGGAAAGACAGCTTTAGAAATCCCAACATAAGTTGACACGTTGGTCCTACTAGAAGTTATTGATGACCAACCCTTCAATAGTAAGGGTCCAACATGACTACTTCGCTTGGGAATTCATGATGGTAGGGCTTTTTTTTTTTAAACCACATCTGACAAACATGGGGGTTTATACAAGCCACGAGATTTACTCTGCCTTTTAAGTATGTTTAACTTACCAATATCCATCTTTCTGTCAGGGAGTTGATTACAAAGTACAGAAGCTCTGTCGAAGACCTCCTTAAGGGAGATAAAAGATAAAGAAAACATCATAAGGCTTAATATTTAAGGATTTATTGTCGCCAATACTTGAACATGACCTGAATTCTGTGGTATGCATCAATCGAGCGGGAAGATGGTCTGGAGTAAGGACCTGGCATTGTGATATGGGAACTTGATATATAAAAAAAAGGGCATACCCAGTGCAGAGCTCCCGCTCTGTGCGGGGTCTGGATATTCCCCCTCTGGTAAAAAAAATATATTGTCACATTTGACTTTGCTGCGACTTGGATGTATATCTTTGACCATTGATATCTGGTTAATTAGACGGTGCAGTGCAATCCTGGCTTCATTAATATTCTTCGATTGGTTTGCATTAGTATCCCTCCTGTTCCAAATTATGAGATATTTTGGTTTTTTAATACTTTGTTTTTACTATATACTCCTTCAGTTCTAAATTATATGACTCTTTGTTTTTTCTAATCCATTGCTTTAACTTCATATCTAGATAGAGTATGTATCTAAGTGCATAATATAATAAAATTTACGTATCTCAAAAAGCTAAAACATCTTATAATTTGGAATGGAGAGAGTATTTAGGTATAGTATATATTTAAATGTATAGCAAAAACTACGTATCGTAATTTGAAATGGAGGGAATGAAAAGCCAAAACCTCTTGTAATTTGGAGCGGTGGGAGCGAGAAAATGAGGGGAATGAGGAATTAGTTTTCTTATACTTCTCGCTGCCAACGCTTAATTTACAAAGTTTTTACTGTATGCTATTTTTTAGCGTATATACAAACAATACACGAGGCTATTTTTACAGTATACTGTTGTAGTCGTTCATTTTTTTTGAGAGAGAGGAGTCGTTCTGCTGCTTGATGAATTAATCACCTTATTAATAACAGTATTTTTCTCTCACAATAAATCTGCATCAACCTTTTTTCGAGCCAGAGGTTCAATAATCTAGAGGAACTTGAACCGGCGCCAGCTTTCCCTACTGCAAAACGTGGGTGGTGGGCCCGAAAGAAGCCTCTTCTCCTTCCATAGTTCCATGCATGCGTAAATCCCATATCGGGGCTCAAAGGCAACGTGGGCCTAATTTGAGTTCATTTGAGTTCCTAAAGGGTTTTTGTTTTTATTTTTTTTATTAGGGTAGTTCTGAAAGGACCTCTTCCCAAGAGTTTATAAAAGAAACTTTACTAGAGCATCTCTAAGAGTTTTCAATAAAAACTCCCAATCTAGTATTTTTTGAGGGGAAATATTAATTTCCATTACTCAGACAAAGCTGAATCGTCAGCAATTACATATTGGCCCGTTCGCTTCGCTGAAAAACAAGCCGAAACAGTGTCCCGACTGATTTGTTGTTAGAGAAAAATACTGTTCTAGCTGAAAAAATAAGCTGAAAAAGACAGATTATAAGAGAAGCGAATAGGGCCATTGGCAAAAATAGAAAAAACCCATCTCACGGGCGCCTTCCCAAGACCCCTGTAAAATCTTTCTTTTCTTTTTTTTTGATAATACTCCAGTCAGGGCGTCCGTTCGAGCATCTCCGTTCGGACGCCCCATCCTGGGCCTAAGCAGCCATCGGGGCCCGACATCAATATCCACGCGGCCTCTTCAAGAAGCCATCGGGGCGCAACATTAATATCCCCTGCGGCATCTTCAAGTCTTCAACTGATTCGGCTCCCTAACTCATTCGCACGTCGTCCAGAACATTCCCCACTCCCCGACCATCGCGGCTGCTTTCACCGCGTCCTCCGCCGGTAGCGGTTGCGTCCACGCGCCATCTACGTCCCAATCTCGTGTCGCGTCGCGCGGGCGTCCCTCGCCATGCCCCTATCCACTTCACCCATCGGCGGCCATGGCGTGCACCGCGCCACCACCACCACCACGGTGCCACCAGGAGGAGGTCGCCGTCGGTTCCGCAGTTCTCCACACAGGTAGGCCGTGGCTGCGCGGGCGTATGTTGTGTTTTATCTGGATGTTGCAAAAGTCGATCTAGGATGTTGCATATGTTGCAATGGCAATATACATATGTTGTAAGCCTATGTTTCAATTGTTTCATGTGTTTCAGACGTTTGTTTCAAATGTTTCATCTGGATGTTTGAAAAGTAGATTTTGGTATTGCATATGTTGCAATGGCTTCACACGCATGTTTCAAGCGCATGTTTCGTGTTTCATTTGTCTCGGACTTATATTGCAAATATTTTATTTGATGTTTTAAAAGTAGATCGGGTGTTACAGACCATCGGCCGCCCACTGCTGCCTGCTACTGAGGGCGCCGTTGTGGATAGTGTGCTGGTGCCTGAGGCCGACAGACGCCTCACGGGCAGGGCAGGTGGGTGCGAGGTCGCGGTTTCGCCAGGCGAGCGCGGGATGGGCGCTGAGCGCGGTTCCACCGTGCGGGCATGGGATTGGCGCGCGGTGCGGTTTCGTACACTTCCGTTGGATGGGAACAGGACGGGGTGTGTGAGATGCGATACGGGCACTGAGCACGCGAGCTGCGTCCCGACGTGGGCACAGGGTCGGACGTCCAGAGCCTAGCTTTACTTTTTTTTTTTGGGTTTTCGGTGTTCTTGCCCCTTACACAGACGTGCAATTATGATTTTGTCCTCGTTTTTCTAACTTTGTGATTTTGCCTTTCACTGTTCAAAAGTCAACATGATTTTGCTCCTGGTCTTTACGAATCTACCCCTGTTTGACCGTTGAATATGGGCAAAATCACGTTGACTTGTAAACAGTGAAGGGCGAAATCACGATTGCATATCAAACTGGGCGAGAACACAAGAGCCCCTTTTTTTTCCGCGTAATCCAACAAGCGACCCGTCGCGCGCTCGCAGTCTCGCACTACCGAGAGCGTCCGCGCCCGCGCCGACGCCGGCCGTCGCCGGAGGTGGGTTAGGGCGGCGAGCGGCGGAGCATCTCTGGCCGTGGTGGACTGGTGGTGGAGGCGGCGGTTAGGGCGGGGAGGCTCGTCGGCGACTGGTTGACGGAGCGGACGGAATAGCGGCGGGCGGGGGCGCACTGTGGGCGGTGCGGCAAGGCGGCGCGTCGCCGGCGGAAGCTCGCATGGAATATTACAGGTGCGTTCAATTGTGTCTCCTCCGTACTACTTCTCTTTGCTGGTGTATGACAGTATGAGGCGGATGCGGAGGCCATCGTCTGCGGAACAACGCTGCCGCTCGATCGCGTTAGGCAAGGGCCTGGCCGCCCTCGGCCATCTTGGTCTCCTCCTCACGCGCTCTGTATGCGATTGCGATTGCGATTGCGATTGCGATTGGGTTTCTTGCGGTCAGGTTCCTGATGCACACGAGGTGTTCGATGGAATTCCTCTACGTCAACGAGCCCGCCATTGCGGCAAGGCGAGCAAGCGAGAGGGATGGAGGCTTCAAACAGGGTGGATGGATTCAGTGGCCAGTGGGTGAGGGGAGTCGTCATCGTCTCAGCGAGGATGCACAAGAGGCTATCTGGGCTCTGTCAACAATGACATGGAATGAGGTGGATTATGGGAACCGAGTAATTCACCAGACCCAATCCTACATCTATAAATAGATGGATCAAAAAGTGTCCAAACCCGTGTAAATTCAACCATCCAGGGGCCTTTCCGGTGGCTGTGGCACTGGAAGCCAGCTCTCCTCTCCAGATTCCCACACCAGGCCAACCTAATAGATCTTCTCAACTTAGGCCAGGTTTTGTATTTAGTTTGCTTAATTTGGATTCCAGGTTGTTACAATCTACTAGCTCTATCTATCTTTCAAAAAGTTTTTGAACGCAACTATCTTTCAAAAAGTGATCTAATATTTCTGTGGGTAAAGTTCACTTTAGGACCTCCAACTATCATAGAAGTATGGATTTCAACCTCCAACTTTAAAACCGGATAACATTGGCCCTCCAACTCTCGAAAAAGTTCACTTTAGGACCCTGGCCGGTTTCCCAGGCGGTTTTGCATAGCACTGTAGCAGTGCTGACGTCAGCGATGCCGTCAGCACTCTTTTTTTATTTGCAAAATTGATATTTTTTTATTCGGAGCTCCAAATATAGCAAATAATATATCAATTTTGATCGTCTCGACGAGCTCTTTGCAATGGTGTACTCCGTTTTGTTGTTTGAGATAATTTTATTTCATGAAAAAATAAATATTTCTACAAAACAAGTTATGTAATTAAGCTGACGTATGCAAGTATTTTATATACTTTGTATATTTGTATATGTACAACACCAACGTAGTCAGTATATAAAACAGGGAGTTGGACGGTCAATCAGACCTGCCACGATCGCTTAGATATTTTTGAATTAACCTTCCCTAGCTGCGGTTAACTAACTGTCAACATATGACACGATCAAACGATATGTTTACTGCTCCTAGTGTAGTTTTTTTTTCTGTTTTTGTGGTGAAATTAAGTAGCTAGTGGTAGTAGTAGTATTATATTTATCTTGTACCCAAATCCGATACAGTATACGATTCGTGTACACCTGTCCTTTTTCCTTTCCTATGGCTACTATTGCAGCACACAGGAACTGGACGACCATTCGGCCGATTGTACGTATCTGTTTCCTGGTGGCATGGCATGAGTATGACCGCATGAAGTGGCAGTGGATAGCTAGATTGAATTGAGGGAGCAGGTAGCAGCAATAGTGAGTGGCTTACTCGTGGTCTAGAATCTTGTGCGGCATCGGTAAGTTGAGCGCGTGCCCCCGCGGGAAGGTCGTCCGGGCGAGGATCTCCGTGGCGTCGGCGTTGCGGTGCGCCTGTCGCCTCGCGCCGCTACCGACGCGAGGTGGCAAAGACACTGAAGCAAAAAGCTCGTGTCGTGCTGACCCGAACCGAGACGGACACGGCGCTCTTGTTGAATTATTGCAGAAATATTTTGAATTATTGCGAGAAATATTTATGACCGAGGCGGACCTGAAGCGAAATATTTCTACAAAACAAGTTTTGAATTATTGCATTTCAAAAATGGTCAAACTTATATATTCTATGGTCAAATGAACCTAAAAAGACAACATTCGTGTTACATAATAATAAAAATATTATTTATCTAACAAATTCCACGAGTTCTGTTATTCTAACTTGTTTTGTAGAAATATTTATTTTTTTCATGAAATAAAATTATCTCAAACAACAAAACGGAGTACACCATTGCAAAGAGCTCGTCAAGACGATCAAAATTGATATATTATTTGCTATATTTGAAGCTCCGAATAAAAAGATATCAATTTTGCAAATTAAAAAGAAGTGCTGACGTCATTGCTGACGTCAGCACTGCTACAGTGCCATGCAAAACCGCCAGGGAAACCGGCCAGGGTCCTAAAGTGAACTTTTTCGAGAGTTGGAGGGCCAATGTTATCCGGTTTTGAAGTTGGAGGTTGAAATCCATACTTCTGTGATAGTTGGAGGTCCTAAAGTGAACTTTACCCTACTTCTGTTCTCCTTTGTTTAATGCTGGATAGTTCAGTTTTGATCTAACAACCGTAAAAAAAAATGAGTACAATTAAACAAACGATTCTCCAAGTGTGACAATATGCACGCTAGTTTATGCTTGCCTTTGTCTCCATATACTTTGTTTACTTCTTTGGGAGTCCTAAATTAGCTGGAGGCTACAACTGTAACAATTGATAGTTGGGGGTACAGAACTTTTGAATAAAATATCGTTTTCTGAAAGAAACAGGCAGATGGACCAATTTTGTAGTTCAACTCTTATGGTTTTATTATCTCCTACTGCATGCAGGAAAATACACAGACTGGGGAAGATCCAATTTATTGTTCGATAAAAGGACTAACACTTTGCCGCCATGATGAGTACTCCCTCCGTATTAAAAAATAAAGTCATTTTGGACAAGGCTTATGTCAATATATATATATATATATATTGTGCATTTTATATACTCTCGGGAGTAGTTACTCTCATAATCAATAAATCACGTTTCGTATATGTACATACTCATTTATTAGTTTAGGTATGTTGACATACTAATATTAAAATACTTTAGATCTTTACCATGTGAAATTTTTTTCAAAAGAGCACATATTTTTTAATATATTATATAATACTATAATAGTAACATATAAAATAAGTATAACCATATACTCTAAGTATACATACATACTTGTCATACATAGTACCCTAGATGGTCTAGTACGATGATATACTCTATCTACATACACTTCGTTGGGCCATATATGCTCTAAATTTAGAGATATACATATGGGGGTAACTACTTTCTGAGAGTAGAAAATAATTTCCATATATATTGTGTGTTGTCACGTATGTATTACTATTTTTTAGATTAAATTAAACATAAAAATGCCTAAATTTCTAGCAGCACTGTAAAATACTCCGTAGCTCATATTTGTGATTTCAATTCATCTGATATACCCCGTTCGGGTCTCTTGGATGAAAATGGTGCGAGAAAAAAAATGTTCCATGTAGCTCACTCGGTTACGAGCACGTAGTTGGTGCCTCTCACCCAACCAGTAGTTGAGGCACGCCCTGGTTGCTTGCTGCTCTGCTCTCGAACGTACTATAGCACTATAAAACACGCAGGATCTGGAAGCGAATGTCACAGCTCAAAGCAGGCAAAACGCAGAAACACAATCCATCGAGCTAGCTAGCTGCAGCGATGTCTCGTTCTTGCTGCCTCGCCGTGTCAGTGCTTCTCGCGATCGCCGCGACATCCAGCGCCACCTTGCCGGTATTGCTGCACGAGGAGCACCTCGAGGAGGCCACGGCCACAGGCCTGCTGGTCGCGGAGGGCCCCAGGGTGGCGGCCTTGTCGTCCACCTGGGCGGCCAACAAGGTCTCGGCGCCGCAGCCATTGGAGGCGAGGCCGAGCGGTGGCATGGCCACACAAGGCGACGACCAGAGCTCGTCGGGTGGCAGCAGCGGCGAGCACGGCAAGGAGGAGGGGGCCAGCAAGGAGCGAGAAGCAGGGCAAGAGCTGCCTCACCAAGGAGGAGTGCCACAAGAAGAAGATGCTCTGCGGCAAGGGCTGCACGCTCTCGGCGCACAGCAAGTGCGCCGCCAACTAGCGCCAAGTGCACCAAGTCCTGTGTCCCCACCTGCTAGGAGCCGTGGCCGAGCAGCCGGGAGCCGGCGGCTAGACAGATCGATCGAGTGTTTCAGTTCTTTGGTATAGTTCTTGTGTGTTGAGTTGCGTAGACGAAGGGAATAAGGAAGGGTACTTCTTGGATATTTGTTTCAGATTTATGTGTAAGCATGTTGTTGTGACAAGTCATTTGATCCAGCGACATATTTGCTCTAGATTTCTGTGTAAGCGTGTTGTTGTGAGAAGCCATTTGATCCATCGATGAATAGATCGTGCTCGCAATGTTTAGCATGCCTGCATGATAACAGTAGAAACAGAGACATTTGCTAGATAAAGGGAAACAGAAGCTCACCGAAAGCTGTCAAGGCAACACCACAGGAATCATTGAGGAAAAAAAAAGATATCAAATCTTCAAAAATGATGTACATGGCTCACTTCACTCGTCAATGATCACTAAATCGACCACACAACACAACCCAACCATAAACTAACAAATGCAAATGCAACCACTTAACTGTTGCACATGCTAACGGTATATTTGAAAGATGTCGCAGACAGCATAGAACTAAGTGGCAGAGAAGCCCTCCAGAGCCCCATGCCCCCATCCGCTGATCAGCATTCGGTTGGGGCCTATAACATCTCCGGCAGCCGCTGTAACGACATCCACATAATATCGTGGCTGAAGTCATTGTCCATGGCAGATTCTCTTCACAAATGACATGGATTATGTGTTAGCATGTGTACAAAAGGCGCAAACAGCAGGAACAAAATGCCTTTGCCGCTGCTGTGGCCTGTGGCCTTGGAGCTTGATGACGGCACTAAGACCGAATAGCTAGCGCTCCATGGCAGCTGATATCCAATCTCGGTGCCATCTGGGACTGGAAGCGAATGTCCCATCTAATTGTGTATATCTAGTATGTCGTCAGTCAACTCATGATTTCCTGGAAGACAAGAGCAAGCTCTGGTGCAGCATTTGCAACCGCCCCTTTTCTTCTGTTGAGGTTAAACAGAAAGACCAAGATATGAGTATTGCAAAAATTTATAAAGAACTGAAACCAAAGCCACACAATAAGTCCAGAGAAGTATTGCCTCAAAGTGCCAATGAATAATTCACTCAACTAAACCATGTAGGATATAGCATGTTAAGTAGACTGCTAATACAGGTCAAAGGTAAAAATTTCTCTAAGGTATAATATCTAGATTGCCAAATACCTTGTTAGAGACGGAAGCTTATTTTTTGCCTTCTCCAATTCAATGAAGCATAAGTTGCAGCGCTCCCTCCTACAATAAATAAATCGCATCAAGTAGTCTAGTAATGGTCCTTCATACAAGCAGCTATCTGAAACAATACCTTTGCTCTGCCTCAAGGTCTACACCAACACAAGGACCTGATGATACTGTTGAATGTATCATTGGACCAAAAGTCCTTACAAGCTTCACCAATAATTCCAATGCAACGCATAAGTGTCTGCATACATTCAACACAAACCGTACATGAATCAATCAAAACTTCTTGCCAATAATGATTGTTGGAAATGGCCCCAAAAGAACCATCATAATCACTCAAAAACGTTGTAGCAAGTACCTGTCAATTTTACTCTCCAGAAGATCAGTGACAACAGGCAGGATAGAGGTACATAAATCTAGTGTGATTATTTCACTTCTCTCCATCAGAACAATAGCTATATCAGCACAGACCTGAAATTTCCAGAAATCACACAATCATTAACATGCTGATTATTGCAAACAAAGAAAGAGCTGTGAAGTACTGACAGCATGATCACCCATCCTTTCCATCGCAGAGAGCACACCCCTGACGTCATTTCTTTCCCACATTTGATGAATAATCTGCATGTCAACAAATAGGGGGTAGCCTTTGAGAAATTGTAGTTTAAATACCTATCTTCTATCCAAACTGCTTTACCCCACTGAGCAAAACAGTGATTTACAAAGTCCATTATAACTGGAGTAAAACAGTTTAAAAGCCTATCATCTATCCGAATTATAAGTTTAGAAACCACAACATAAGGTACATATATATACTCTTTTTTTTTATTAACCTGGACCATTTATAACATCTGATTAATTGGTAGGAGCAAACTAAAATTATAAAATTTCTTTTTCTTGAGCAGCATTACACGACCAATACAGCCAAATTGTCAAGCACTGCACTGACCTGCAATTTTGTCAGCCGAGACTTTGTTGAGCTTAGAAATAGATCATGTTGCTCCATGATAAGAGATAAAACATCCTCATCACTAGCTATGATTGGAGTTTCAGAAGCTTTTTGATTGCTTCCTCTCTGCAGAAGAGGAAAGGTTTCATATATATCTCAATGTAAAAAGAATAGATGGCCAAACATGCAATTCCATGTATAAACCGTTGTGTCAAATAAGGTCTGCAAGTCTTCAGTATAGTAAGCACAAGCTAGTCAAGCATGATTGCCATGATAATTTCACAGGAATTGTTGGAATTCAACCGTGTTTCAAATGGGAACTAGCGATAGGTCTAGGCTGAGCCTGGGGCAAGAGTGATTGAAGGAATGGTTTTGTCATACTTTATCTTAGGTCTATCATGCATGCACATGAATCGATGGGACAGCAGCAGCCACCAAGATAAATGAAATCAGATAATAAAGCAAGCACAGTATCTTGAAACTTAACTACCCCACATTTTTACAACCTTCAGAAATTAAAAGAAAAGGATGAAGTAACATAACGTATAAAAGGTTTATAGCTTGTCTTAGACATACAGATGAATATGGACGGCCTGTAGGAGCCAGCGAAGAACTGCTTGTTGTCGGTTCTTCGTGACTAGGGGACTGATCCCTCCCTTCCCAATTAGAGACACTTGACCTTGCTCGCCCTACATGATAATTTATTCAGATACATGAACAGATTACTGGATCAAAACATAGTAGCATCTTCCGTAAAAAGATACACATAGTAGCATAAACCATACCTGCTCTTGAAACTTCGATATAGCAGTTATCTCTTGGTTTGCGCATTCTAGAAACATCTATAAAACAGAACCAAATGGAGTGATTACCCAAAATGTAAATTTTGCCAAAAACAAAAGGTAGCTAATAACTCAACAAAACAACAGACATGTCTGGTGTTTCTCGCACAATTCAGAATGTAAGCTTTGAGAAACCATGCTTCGTCCAGATAATGCTGAGTAAACAGCATATTAATAAATCAAATTCATGACAACAACAAGATACCTACAAATTATTGAGCACCTTAAACAAATAAATCTGTTAACTCTTTTCTTTAGTAAGTAAATTGTTTGCTCATTAATGCTTGATTCAATGAAAGAAAATGGAAATGTGACTAGATACTCTCTTGGATTCAAATCCACAATTCCAAAGCATTTAGAACTTACTATGATGAGTACCTTCTCCGATATGTATATTTTTAGATAAAGGTATAATTAATAGCATTACAAATATGTGCAGATGAATGCACAATCAAATCATTACATACATGTAGGACATAGACATGCAATGCAAACATGCATAGCACATTATGAACACAACATAAATAGCAAGCAATAGTAGTAGTTCGACCTGTTAGTCCATTAAACAAGTTATGAAGGAAATTAAGCACCACTAACAATTGTGAAACATGTGAATCTAAGTGGTAGCAGCACATAAAACATATAAATGAGTACAGATCATACAATTCTCACTGCGGACACTTGCATTTGGTTCTGATGAATTCGAAAATCCCATCCTGTCAACTGGACCACACTTTATGTCTTCACAAGATTCTTCAGAACTTATTGTTTGAAAAACACCATTTCTACAGGGAAGAAATATTTGGCAATTGAAGTCATCTGTTTCAGTAATTTTACTTCCGCTACCAACTTTGTTTGAATCAGTTTTGACATGGGTTAGCTTCCGTAGCTCAGCATATCTTGACTGGATTCTGAATGGTGATACTCTTCCAGCAGAAGGTTCTCTCCTAGAATCAGAAATCATTTCCATTCTAGAATTTGTTCTGGGTACAATGACAGGTACTGCATCCGCACTTTCTTTCTTTGAATCAGTACCAGAATCTAGCTTTCTGTTTGACTTTGAAAGAGCGGGAGCAGAATCAGAGGCCATCTCCATTCTTACATTTGCCCTGGGATTGGAAACAACAACAGGTGCTGTATCAGCACTTTCTTTTTTTGAATCAGGGGCAGAATCCAACCTTCTGCCTGACTTGGAAGTAGAAATGGGTGCTGAATCAGAGGCTGTTTCCATTCTTGAGCTTGCTCTAGGAATAACAGGTTCCACATCATTGCTTTCAATTCTAGAATCGGTAGCAGGATCAACCCTTCGGGTTACCTTAGGAAGAACAGGTGGCACATCAGCAGCATCGCTTCTAGAATCAGTAGCCAACTCCCCTCCTGAGCTAGTTCTGGGAACAATGACAGGCACTACATCAGCTTTACTGAAATTGTGAACATTAGAGGCACTGTTACTCCGCAACGAACTTCTCTTCAAGGTGGTACCACCAGATTGAAAAGCTGAATTTCCAACAGATCTATTATTGGAGCTAACTCCAGCCCTTTGTGGTGTGCTTGGGACCAACCCGCTTGCTTCAGTATATTAAGAACAGATAGAAGAGAGATAAGGCATATGAAATGCTTTAACCATTAAATGTAGAAATGAGTACATAGAGATGAGCAGGAACATACAGGGTGCTGATTTAGTCTCTTTGGGTGCAGAATCAGAGTTCTGGGAAGCCGACAGTCTTCCTGAAGAAGTTTTCAAGTTATTCTCTGAATTTTGCAAGACTGATGGCCGCCCTATGTTAACCCTTGAACCACTATCATTTTGTAAAGGCATAGTGCCGCTAGACACAGTCTTCAATTCAGAATGACCATTTAGTTTTGTTGAAGTACCCGTTGCATATGGCTCAAGACGCTGCCAATTGATTACTTTGTTAGTAGATTCAAGAAAAAACAAAAAAAGGAAGACTCCAATTGACTGTAACAGATCAGTGTTACAAATGTAGCTGAAGCCAACATACCGTCAGATCAACAACCCATATTCCAACACAACTTTGATTGAAAGAACATCCAAGAAGTTTTCCCTCGTG